ACTGCGATATTTTAGTAACTACTGAAGATTATTCACTCAAAATTGATATTTACAATAAGTTTGAGACGAAAAATAAGAATATTATAAATTTTTGGAAAATGGGCGTAGCCACGCCTACTTATGGTTACATGTGTATATCTTTGTAACCGCTGCACCAATTTCTTCCAAACTTAGCACAGTTGTTGACCTTGGTATAGCATACGAAATGGCCTAAAATTTTTAAAATATAACAATAACCACGCCCACATCCCATACAACGGTAATTTAGAGAAATACGAAATCTTCGGTAAATCAGTAAATAATAAAGCTAGTTTATTCGATTTTGATGCTTGAAACAATTCTTTACCAAGAAATACGTTTATAATAAAATTTTTGGAAATGGGCGTGGCACCGCCCACTTACGATCATATATATTTATCTCGGTAACCGTTTCACCAATTTGTACCAAACTCGGTGTGGTTATTGTACTTGCCACATAGAAGCAAAACGCTGAAAATTATTGAAATCGGATTAAAATTACGGCCGCTTTTCATATAAGGGTAAATTTCAGAAATGCTTGAAACTTCAGGATTTCGAAATTTAAGGACGCTAATTTACTCAAAATTGATACACCCCGGCTTACCATGTAGCGGTATCTTTCGGAAAGGTGAAAAACGTATATTTAATACTTGCGCCGGGCGCCGGCTCCGCGCGAACTTAGACTTTCTTACTTGTTATTCATAAAAGCTCCGTTTTTGGAGGTATTTTCAAATCGGTCCAGCTCACTTAAATCTTAATATTTTTCCGAAATATTTTGGTGAACGTCTTAAAATATAATAAGTTTTGTAATCCTGGCGGAAAAACTGCAACATTTTTTGGTGATGCAGTCTAATGTACATACATGAAAACATTACTGTCCATAAGTACATACATATGTCCATCAGTATGTACCAGGGACGTGAACCGGATGAAAAATTTCGAACCGGTTCGAACCGTTTTTGCACTTTTGGATTGGTTCGTCAAAGCGTTTTTTTTTGGTCTTTGAACCGGGGTTTCGGTTCGGTTCAACGGTTCGAAAAACAAAAAAATAACGAGCAAGTTTAAGTGTCAAGTGTCAAGTGCAACAACGGGCAAGGTTAAGGGTCAAGTGTCTGTCAAATGTGATGGGTTTGCCTTTACATTTGATATTGTCACATGTTAAACAAACATGGTAGGTATTACCATGTTTAACAAGAAGAAAAAAGTGGGTACATTTATCTATAGAAAATTGGTTGAAACGAACCTTTAAACCTTTATAGAAAGTGGTTCAGTTTTCGGTCCGGATCAAACATTTATGGAAAATTTGGGTTCGGTTAATGGTTCACTTAATTAATAGAAAAAAGCGGTCTTCCGGTTCAAAACCGGTTCACGTACCTGGTATGTACATCAACGAAGCCCGTTTGCTTAATCATAAATATGTCCATACAAACATATGTACATACAGTGACGGGCAAAACTGTAACATGGTGTAACACTTTTTAATTCAGCCATCGCTATATTTCCAAGTTCTAAAGACTTTCATCCTTTTGTTGTATATTCTTGTTGGTACATCCCTTCTCCCTCTCTCATAGCGATTTGAAGTCAATACAACAACAATAAAAAAACCAGCTGAAAAAAATGTAAATTAATGCAGATGTTACAGTTTTGCACTCATACATTTTTAAGAACTTTTTAAACATTTTCACGAAAAAAAGAACTACTAACACAATGTTCTTTCTCTCTCTCTTCTTTCTCTCTTTTTCTTGTTTCAGTTCCTGGATACGATTTGGCATACCTTATTTTTATCTTTGTAAAAATTCTGGAGGTATATCCTTAGTTTGCTTTCACAGCTCATGTACTCGATTTTACGGACTTGGATACTTAGTAAGCTGTGCTTTTAGTTGTTTTCGCAAATTCTCAATGAGATTCATGTCCGCGGATTGTGGAGGTCATTTGGCTTTTGTATCCAGTCTTTTCGAATATGTGCAGTGTGTTTTGGGTGATTTTTCAGCAGAAACTCTCATTTTTTGACTACATCTTGCAAATTTTGTTGAAATATGAACAGATACTGTTCCTCACGCATAATGTGTACTAACAGACCAAGAAAATTTTTGAAATACAACCCCAAACTATTATTAACCGACCACTGTTGTTCACAGTTTGCCTTACATGCTGCGCATGGGCTTAATTTGGGTCTTTGACCCAATACCATACCCGGCCATCTGATTGAAAGCGATTAATTTAGTCTTGTCGGACCAAATAACCTTCAATTGAAACTTAACAAGTAAGAGCAGCGCTGTCTTCGGCTATGCCGAAGACTTCATACCTTTAATGAACATCTGAAAATTTTACTTTAACAGAAAAAAAATAAAAAATAAATAAAAAATTATATATTCGCAGCATACATGGATAGAGGGGAGACACATATATAAAAAACCATATCCAAACAATCAGTGGTATGGAAGATATACCTTATATAGCACCAATCTAAGTGATTTTCACTGCTTTGTGACCGGAAACACAATTTAATAGGCTTAGCTTCCTACATAAAGGAGATATATCGCAAAAACTGGTATCTGAAAAATCATTGGTATAAGAGATAAAGCTTATACAGCATAGATTTTTACGATTTTCTCAGTAGATTTTGTATTATTATTTATAAAATAGCTTCCGAAATTTATCGGTTTTAGTTGTCCAAATAAAGGAGTTTTCCAGTAAAATCCCATATCTGAACCATCAGTTGTATGGTGGCAATAAATAGGTTATAGTGACCCGATCTTTGTTAATTTTACTGTAAAATTTCTGTTGATAATGAGTGAAAATAGTGCAAAATTTCATGTTTCTAGCTGCATATATGGAGAAGTTATAACAAAGAATCTCATATCTGAACAATCAGTTGTATGGAGGCTATAGGTTATAGCGGCCCGATCTTCGCCATTTTCACTGTAAGTATTTTTTTGATAATGGGTGGAAGTATTGTGAAATTTCATGTTCCCAGCTGCATAGATGGAGGAGTTACAACGAAAAATCGTATATCTGAACAATCAGTTGTATGGGAGCTATAGGTTATAGTGACCCGATCTTAGTAATTTTCACTCCAAGTTTTCTGTTGATAATGGGTGGAAGCACTGCAAAATTTCATGTTCCTAGCTGCATAAATGGAGCAGTTATAACGAAAAATCTCATATTTGAATTATCGGTTGTATGATAGCTATATGTTATAGTGGTCCGATTCTTTCGGTTCCGACAAACGATTAATACATTATAAAAATACACCCACCTACCAAATTTGATCCGGATATCTCGAAAACTGAGAGACTAGATTGCATACAAACAGACAGACAGACGGACAGACGGACAGACGGACATGGCTAAATCAACTCAGCTCGACGTTCTGATCATATAAGTATACATTTTAATGGGTCTATCTCTTTTTGTTCTGGTACTTACAAACATCGGACCAAAGTTATAATACCATTTCATGCTCATGAAAGGTATAANAATCTATTGGAATTATTTCGGCTATTTTTCTAGTACTACTATTATTCTACAAAATGCCGAGTCCTGGAATCTAACATTTGAAGGGTAAGAATAGTACTAAATAGCATAGAGCAAACAAAATAAGCCATTAAAGCCGTTTTTCGTGAAATTAAACGCGAAAAACTCAACAACTTGGCGCAATTCTAAGATCGAGTTCGAGTTCTACGCAGAAAATTACTTCGGAAACGACCTACGGCTGCACAGCATCAGAAACTTTGCAATCTGTGTTCATAATTATCATGTTCTTAATTTCTTTGAATTACTTGTCACATCACAAGACTACTGAGATCATGCTACTTATTGCATAAAACACACTAAAAGCGACTTAAATACCTAATTATAATCTTATCGCTAAACGTATATCGCACAGGTAACGTAACAGTATTTTTCTGTAACGTACCAGTCCGAATATTTTTTACAAATATTGACCTCAAAATTAATTTTATCGGTTCAATCAATACGTAGTTCTTGAATTCCATCCTGAGCTAGGAAACTGTGTACCAACTTTTAAAACAATAATATTAGGAGAGCAGACTTTTTCAATAATATAAGTACTTCCAAAAATTGTACTTCCAAAAATTGTAATGCAACAGTCCACTGCTGAAACATTCATAACTCCTAAACCACAGGAGTTACAATATAGGTTTGGTATGAATTAAATAATGCCACATACTTATGCTTTCAGATACAAAAAGAAAAATTATCCGAAAATTGTATTCTCGCGAGTTTCAGCGGTATTTAAAAATCAGTGTGAGCCAAAATGTAATGTAACAGTCCGCGTTTTGGGCCATATGTATATTTCTTGGAAGCGGCAGAGCTGAAATGCGCAATGAGTTCGTTCATACATATATATGTGTGTATGTACATACATACGTGCATTCAAACATACATATGTATTTCTTTTTTCCCCTTCTCTATACTATCTATATCTTCCTTCTCACTCATGTAACATTTTCAGTTTTAAAAATTTCACNTTCTTGGAAGCGGCAGAGCTGAAATGCGCAATGAGTTCGTTCATACATATATATGTGGGTATGTACATACATACGTGAATTCAAACATACATATGTATTTCTTTTTTCCCCTTCTCTATACTATCTATATCTTCCTTCTCACTCATGTAACATTTTCAGTTTTAAAAATTTCACTCTCCATTTTTGCGATGCCGCCGCCTAAGAAGTTTCACTTCAAAAATGTGAAGCTTTTAGTTCACAAGGACGAATAGGTATTGAAAATGTCCTTTTATTAATGCTACTTTTTTAAGATAATAAAGCTAGAAGGGTGAAACTCGAGGATTTGGTCGTGTCTGTATTAGTCCTTAATATAATTTTTTGTAATATACTTATTGCAATTTTTTAAGGACAAGGACAAAATCTTAAAAAGGCATTTTCCATACCCATACCTCCTTACGCACAAAAAATTTAATCGGTTGTAATTCTACAGAATCTCTTTATACCCTTATCGTTATTCTACATTGCACTGAATGTGTAAAAGAAATTTTCACCCTTATTCTGGAACCCGAACTTTCGTAATTCGTAGTTCGTAGTTCCGTTACGAAAAACGAGAAATCGACATGCTGCAACCCTTGCGGCGTAGAGTATATGCTGTGGCGATTGCCTATCGCATTGCATTTCTCTTTCGCATCGCATTACAGAGTAGCCCCCAGTTATTTATCGAAGTCAGCTGTATGCAGAAAAACAAAGTGGAAAGGAGTTAAAAAACCTCATCAAGTGCTTATTTATAGTGAGATTTTTTGATTTTAAATATTTACAGAAAATGGTGGATTCTATTGCATTTGCAATTGTAGCAGCGGAGTAAAAGCTATGCGGACCTGTCGGGCATATTTACTATAGGCACATCTAGGTACGTCAGCTTCTTCTTGAAATATTGGACCACAAGCCATAACTCCTATTATGCCTGAAGAACTGGTTCTCAATCCAGTTAATGCAATATGAGCTTCTGGCAAGCCATTAAAAATATGTATTTTGTTGGGGTGCTGTTACGCAGACGATCATACGATCTCTGGTGACAAATTGTTGTTGCTTTCACTGCACAATGAAAAATTTGAGGGAGAGAGAGAGAACTGAACTGCATGACCAGCAGTGCTCGAACAGAAAAATTCAGATTTTTATAAAAACCCGCTAGAGAAAGCAACAACAATTGGTGACCAGAGATCATATGNACTGAACTGCATGACCAGCAGTGCTCGAATAGAAAAATCCAGATTTTTATAAAAACCCGCTAGAGAAAGCAACAACAATTGGTGACCAGAGATCAGATGATCGTCTGCGTAACAGCGCCCTTGGGTTCACCACCCGTTGCGTTTGCTTCCACCTTCGGCCGCGCTTAGGGATTATAACCCTTACTATGTAGAATTCAGCTTTCTTTATTGCCGAAGAGGGGCGGAAGCCATTTCTTGTGCATATAATAACTCCGCCTACGCCATCCAGAGTATTTTTTCACAGAAC